CTAACAACTTTTGCACGAATAATACACATGCTCATCATCTTTGATATGTTATAATCTGGACAGAATTTGGTGGTTTTAACTTTGGAATTAATTCTCCTATTTCCTCATATAATTATCTGTAAGGCTTAAATTCCACCAAAGTACAGTAACAATAATGTTATTGTTCACAATTTAGAACCTCACTTTATTTACAAATTTACAAAACACCAGCAGACCTACCTATGTAGAATTTTTTAACTTGATAATTTACTAGAATAATTTTAAACTCTATATTAATTGAATCCTATACTAAGTCCTTCAAGTTAAAGGTATATTATTCATTGCAGTGGAAAAAATCTAGTTAATGTGCTGTGATTCACATTTCTATTTTTTTTAGGACTTTTGTTAGTAAAAACTATAAAAACTATAATGGTCACATTACTTTTATAAAAGGTGGATACAAGTTTATAAATTGTGATATAATAGCTGAAAAGAAAGTTTCACTTGCCTTTTTTTATCTAGAAAAACTTGAATCATGTTAAAATCCTGGTGCCAATTCTATCTATATATGCTAACTTCAGGGAAAAAGTAGGTATTATGACACAGTTCCAACATCATTTTCATGAAGACCAACCTTAAAAGTTAATGTTTTCTTGGTATTGTAAAAGTCCTTGGTGCTGTAAAATTAGGTTTCATGATTCTGTAACATTTAAATTTGAAATACAGTGTATTTGCATTACATTCACACCAGATAACTGCTTTTAAGGCTGCTAATAGTTTAGTATTTAACAAATTGTTACCAAAATAAATAAATGTTAACATTTGTATTTGACTAAGAGTATAAAATACTCGTTATTTACATTTAAGCAAAGCTTCACATAAACCACTTTAATAATGATTCTAGAAACCATCTTCCAAGGGTTTTCTAAACAGTATAGCAAAAGCTATACTGCTGTTGATGTAAAATCCAGGACTTCTAAGTTTTAAATGAATTCTAACAAAGGAGTTTTAATCTTGTAGTCCTCATGTTTATAAGGCCTGCTGTTCAGAATTTCTCCCTTTATGTTTCCACTCTGGGTTCCCAGTTCCTGATTATCTGAACATCTAGAAAAGTAAAAAGCCTTGGTGCTACTAATAGATATCCCAAAAGCTGAGAATGTCAAACACTTCTGTGTCATAGTAGCTGTATATTCACTCAGGATGATGGGGATGGGGGGAGGAGAGAGTCCCAGGATGTAACCACCTAAGAAAATATTTTATTTTTCTGGCTTAATATTTTTTCCAAAAATACTTGACATAGAGATTTAGAATTTTTCTTTAAGCTGTTTAAACATTCACTTTTCTTGGAATCCCGTAAGACAGCTTACTGGATTACTTAATGAACAATTATTAATGGACTATTGACAGAGATGTCCTTCCAGCAATTTTTTTTTTTTTATTATTTGTGGATGGTGGGATCTTGGATAGAAATATTTAATTGGAATTTGTGGGAGAAATTAAGATAGGAATTCTGGTTAGCAATATTTAATTGGAATTTGTGAAAGAAATTAAGATAGAGAATTCGTTTAGGAAATCTAAAGGCCTGGCCGGCAGGACATTCAGAGCTCCAGACTTCCAAAGGGCTACCATACCCTTGAGAGGAAGCTGCTGCTTTTCTAAAGTTAGCAGTTAATAAAAATTAACTACCTGAAAATAATAGATGAAAACTGGGCTTTACAAAAGCCAAGCCCTATCCTTGTTTACAGCAAGCATAAAACCAGATTTCTAATCCGTAGGAGCCACAATCACCTATTGATTGCGACGACATCTGTGCCCCTGTTTTGGGAAGCAGGGTTTTCTGTGGAGGCAGGGCTGAAAAATCCGACCATTTCTGTGCGCCTGTGTAATAAACAGCTGACAGACAGGCCTCTTAGGAAGGAGTCTTGAAACCCGTACTTGGGCTCACTCATTTCTCACCTATGGATCGACCCAATTAAAAGTCTTCCCTTCCATCTTCAGAAGTTATTCTTTTTCAATAATGTAATCTGTGAAGTAGCATCACTAGAACTCAAGTGGTACCCTCTAGCAGACAAAGAGTGAAATGCTTTGTGTGCCACCAAATACAACCTCCTTCGCCCCAGGCCAGCCCTGAGTAAGCCACTGCCCTCAGGACGAAATCAGTTCTGCACTGGGCAGGACAATGACCTCAAAGATCAGAGCTTCTTAACCCCTTTCTTACCCTAGAGCTTCCCTCAGGATAAAGTCTCTTAACTGCCATAGACCTACCAGGGGCAGAAGGAGATGGAGGGTGGGTTTGCTGGATTGGTCCCGAAGCGACCACTGAATCCTGAACCAAGTTTAGGTCACACAAAGAGGCCTGACTTGGGAGAGCTGCCAAATGTAAACCGTGAAGCCCAGGCCAAAATCCCTGTCACTGGATCACCTTGGGATGGGGAGTGTGTGTGTGTGTGTGTGTGTGTGTGTGTGTGTGTTGGGGGGAGTATGGGGGAAATGGAGTGGATACACTGTAAAGCCGAGTCCAAAACCGTCCCCTCCCCCTGATGGAAGGCTGATTAGTAGCCCAGGCACAAGAGAAAGCTGATTCGTTTCCGCTCCCACTTCTCAAGTTCACACTCAAGTTCAACCCCTGACTCCCACAAGACGTCTGAGTAGCCCAGACCTTTTGTCAACTTATCCTTAAGGAACAGCCCCTGATGCTGCGGGAGGGCATAGCCTGTAGGAAGTGCACAGGGGTCAGGAAAGGAGAGCCTGGGAGGTGGAGAAAAAGACTCTGCCACCTTGTAAGCTTCCTTTTCTTCCAGGGCGAGCACCCCCCCCCCCCGCCCTTCCCCCTCGCCGGAGAGCCGCTTTAAGTTAGGACTTGTAAACTCTTCTGGGCAGCTTGGCTAGGGTGACAGCCTTCTGGAAAGCGATCGTGGGCTGTCGACTGGTTTCTGAAGGTGAGCACTAGGCGAGCGCCTGGCTTTCAAGCCTTCAGGCTGCTGGAGTCCCGAGGCGAGCACGGTGGCGAGCCCGGACTGTCTGGCATACTGCTGCTTCAGGAGCAGCGCGATCCAGCGACAACCCACTCCTGCCCCGCACCGCCGCTTTCTTTAATTTAAGGGGAGAGCGAGCGGCTTTTGCGCCGCAGGTCCTAGTGCCGGGTGGGAGCCGACACGACGCGTGGTTTCCGACCATCAGAACGTAGTCCTGCCGTGGGAGGAATGTTGGAAGGGGAGAAGTAAGGGAAGGGCGACCTGGCGGCCCCAGACCCGAGCAGGGGAAGCCGAAAGGAGGGGGATGGTGGTGAGACGGGGCAGAAACAGAAAAACAAAGACTGGGGGCATCTTTCCCTTACAGGTTCTATACTCGCCAGTTGCCGGAGTACAATACTCTGAAAGAATCTGGACGGTGCAGCATGTGATCAAACCCCCAACTGGGACACTCAACCGGAACCGGCTCGCAAGCACCCGAGCTCCCACTCCGAGTTCGCGGGGCCCACCACCCCACCTGGATGGTTATCTCCCTCCCACTCACTTCCCTGGACAACTTCTTCCCCCTCCTTCCCTTTCCTGCCACGTCCCAGCGCCCAGCCAGTCCCTGCCCCGGCGTCCAAGCTCCAAGCTCCGGGGTTCATTTGTGCGGAGCCCGGAGAGCAAGCCCGCTGCGCCCCGCCCCCCCCCCCCCGGGCCCTCCTAGAGAGGTCGGTGTTGGCGGGGGAGGGGGGCGGGGGGGCGAGTGGGAGAGGTGCACTGCCGGCTAGAAGACGGAGTGTTTGCAGTCCCACCTTCCCTAGCTCTACCTGCCCAGTCCACCTGTCGCCGGGTCAGGGACGTAGGGAGGCCCGGGGCTGGCCCTCTCCAACTTTCTGTTGCCAGGCCCCGGAGGGCGTGCCAAGGGTAGAGGAGAACCCCACAAAGAGCCGTAGAGTGGCCAGGAAGAAAAAACGGGGCGAGGCAGGTGCCCAGAGACTTGCACACGTCCCCATGGCACGCTGGCGCTCGGCCCGCTCTTCAAGAGAAGAGTAAAGTTGTGGCCAAGCAGAAAGTGGGGGAGAGCGGGTCCGCGCACAGCGCGCAGGAGACCTGAAGGTCCCGGCACTGCCGGGGAGGAGACCGACGTAGTGGCTCCCTCCAGCCGGCCGGGCCGTCCACTGGGGCAGCGCCGAGGGGACCCAGGGGAAGTCTCTCTCGCCTGCCCCCCGCGCGCCGCCCCGCGGCTGCCAGCTCGCCCCAGGGACCCGCCGCCGCTGTCGCCGCCGTCGCCGCTGGGGGTCTCGGCTCCAGGGCTCACCCAGCGGCCCCCTGACAAAAAGAGCATTCTCGGCCGCGGGGGGCGCCGGCTGCTCTGTCCTCTGGAACTTTCTCTGCGCAACTTTTTCGGGGCGGCGCTCGTCCGTGGACCGCGCGGGCTCCAGCACGCGGACCCGGCCAGGGCGGAGGGCGGGCGCAAGGGACGCGCGCGGGGGCCGACCCAGCGTCCGCGTCGGGTCCCGCGCGCCCGCGCCCTCGCCCCCCTGCCCACCGCTCCCGCGAAGCAGGGCCGGGCCAGCGGGCGGGCACGCCGGGGGGCCCAGCCAGCCCGAGCCCGTGCGCCCGCGCGCCCGCGCCGCGCCGCCTGCCCGTGCGCCCGCGCGCCCCAGCCCCGCAGGCCACCGCCGCGCGCCGGGGGCTTCCAGCCGCCTCGGGGGGCCGCAGCCCGCGCCGGCTCCCGCTCCACCCGGCGTCGGCGGCCGCAGCCGGCCGAGAGTGACAAGCAGAAACGGTTCGGCGAAACTCCTGGCCCGGGAGGAAGCAACTAGCGTCGCTCCTCTCTCCAAAAAGCGCCCTCCTGCGTCCCTCCAGAACTCCCGAGAGGCGTCCACACCTTCCCACAACTTTGTACGCCCAAGGCCGTTGGCAGCCCACCTGCGAACGCGAACTCCAGCCCCGCGCCCCGAGAGCCCTCTTCCCGGCTGCGGGGTGCGCTCCCCTCCCCCACCTCCGCAGGCGGCCGGAGGTGGCCGGAGCGGGGACCCTGTCGCTGCCCGCGGGCTCGCTTACCTCGCATGGTGTGGCCGCTCTCCCGCTCCGCGTAGTCATGAAGCTGCTCCCAGCCCGAACCCCGGAGAGCCCAAAAATCCTGCTCAGCACGAGTGAAGAAGGTGGTCGGCCAAGAGCTGCTCCGCCGAGAAAACCATCCCTTTAGGCGGACGCCGTGGCCGGAGGGTGACGTTGGCCGCCGCCGCCGCCGCCGCCGCCGCTATGTTAACAGTTTTGATGATGGTGGTGATGACTGTTTTGATGGTTGTTTGGTTGTTTGTTTTCAGGAAGGGTGGGAAAAAAAGAAAAAAAAAAAGGTGCTGTCTGGCTGGTGCCCGGGTTTTGTTTTGCTTTTGTTTTTCTTTTTTTCTTTCTCTCTAATGTGCTTGCTTTTTAAAGATGCCACCGCCTCCGGCTTAGAAGATTTCTTTTGTGATCACTTGGACTGAGGAGGAGGAGGAAGGGCAGAAGCAGCAGCAGGAGGAGGAGTTGGTGGTGGTTTTGTTAGTTACAAAGAAGAAGGAGAAGGAGCAAGGGGTGGGGGGGGGGGGAAAGGAAACAGAAAAGGAAGAAAGGCGGTGTGGATGGCAGAGCATGTGCGTTTTCACATGACATCTGTGCCTGTTAGCGGATCCAGTGAATTTTCACTGTTCAGTTACAGGGAGGAAGGGAGCGAGAGAGAAAGAGAGGAGAGAGATGGAGAGAGAGAGAGCCGAGAAGGGGCTTATACGCGAGGGCGGGTTTGGCCGGGACTTCCAGGCCCCGCCCGCTGTCAGCGCCGCCGCCTATCAGCGCCCGGCAGCGCTCGGAGGGGCCGGGGCCACGGGGGAGGGGCCGCGAGTCCCGGAGGCGGGCGGGGGCGCGGGACGCGGCGGCCCGCAGCCGGCCCGAGCTGCAACTGGCCGCGGGAGACCGTCCGCCCTGGGCAAAGGAGCGGGCCCGGCCCGAGAGGGGCGCCGACCCGCAGGTGACATTCATCCGACCCAGGAGGAGGGGGCGGGCGCTGACCAGTCCTTTCGGAGGCGACAGACGTGCGGCTCCCCGGGTCCCACGTTCCGTCCGTCTCTCGCAGCCACTGCCTGCCCCGAGAGTGAGCTCGGAGCGTCTGGCAGCGCTCTGCAGAGTCCTCTTTCGGTAAACTCCGAATTTCTGGCGGGGCTTTCGTGGCAGCAAAACGCCCATCAATTTCCATCACGTTGAGCATGACCAAACTGCAGTCCCATGCAAGTGCCATCCGCTTCCTTGAAAACCGTCTCTCAGATGCTTCCCGCCCCGAATCCTAAAAACAGGAAACACGACACACTTAAGATTTCTTCAGGTCTTTTTTAAAATTATTTTTTTAAAAAAAAATGTTTTAATACTTTCTTTCGTCAAGGGAATTTTTATTAGCATTTGCAAAATCTCCTGGCATTGCGCTACCTCTATTCAAGGGTAAGAGCCCCAACTGTGGCTACTTCAGTGATGCCAGGGAAATGGCTGAGGCCAGAGGGATGACTGTGTAAGTGCTGTCTATTTGACAAACGTGTAGGGCTCTAGGAGGGGGGACTCTTAAGCCCCTGGCTTTGAGGAGACACTTATCTATTTATTGGAGACTGACAATTAAACGTGAGTACTTTGTATTCCTTAGGTGAAAACTGTCATCTATGACCATTTATTTGTATTTTGATAAAAATCCAGTGCATATGTCAAAACTGTTCCTTTGCAAGTTTTCCTCTCTCAGTGGACACAGTAAACACATAGTGATCACATCTACCCCCCGCCCCCATCCCCACCATAGTAGGTTAATTGGTCCCCTACAAAGCAGAGAGGGGAGAAATTTGCTTCTTTTACTCAGTCTTAAGCCATTGAGGCTTCTACTCATTAGCGTACCTGTTGGCAGAGCAGGCCTCATCATCATTCACCTGCCCAAATAATTTGATTTTTTGCTCTATTCGTATTATGTCATGTGACAAAAAAAATGCAATGCAAAATTGGCGATTATTTAGTTAATTACTGCACTCTACACTGCCAAGTAGTTTGTCCCTCCCTGTTTAAATAAGAAAATGGATTACTTGCTGAATCCTCCCTAGTGCTAAATTGACTTAGCCCTGCTATATGCCCTTCCATTTGCAAGCCAATGTGTAATTTAGGAAAATTTTAGTATTAAGAGTGAAAGTTGATTGAGTCTTTAATTAAATGAAATGAACAGAAGGAAGTCACTGTTCAGAATAGTTATTCTCTTATAAATACCTTTCCCCTAGATTTGTAATTGACACAGTAGTTAATCTTTTAAGATAATATTTAAGGCTCCCTGGTTTTATCATTTTTAATCAAGTAAAATATATTCATTATAACCACATTAAAGCTGCACTAAGTTATGCCTAATTTAGTTGCTTCATTAAAAATTACTGAATATAAAATAGTCAAGAAACAAATTGTGACTACAACATTTTAATTTTATGTGCTTCAAGCGGAGACACGGGAGTGTTGAAAGTTCCAAAGCCTTTGTAAACACTATAATTATTACTGTTGTGATTATCTTAGATTTCTATTTCTGATTAAGGAGAAATTTTGAAATTCAAGAATTTTAACTCTTTTCTTCTAGTCTTAAGTTCCTGAACATTTACTGAATTCTTAAATTTCTTTTACTGCTGGCTGCAAAATCTGTAATTCTTAAAAAAGATAGTCAACATATATACGACAAGTGCCTTTCTCCCTTCCTTAGCAGTTTTATATGTCCTTTGCTTTGTAGGTTCGACAGTGCATGATTTTGCTTAGAGCTGTATCAAATAGTTTTTAATCTCTTCTGAAAACTTCTGAAAAAAAATTATTAATTAGAAGTAAAGACTTAAATTATATCATTTTTCAAAACTGTATCATATATATCGTGGTACAAAAGTATTTCTTTTTTAGAGTGGAATAAATGTTGATCATTGGTTATATTGTGGTGATCTGGGACATTTTGGATCTTCCTAAAAATTAAAAAAAAAACTGAGCTCTTGAGCTTTCCTAATAAGTTGCAAATTATGTCAACTGAATGGAACCCACTTGTTGTAAAATAAATCTTCAGGACTTAAAGAAATCAGCATTTTCCAGAAAGTCATAAAATACTTATGTATAATCGGATTTTTTTATAACCTGTCTGCCAGCAGCTATCCATATTTTGATTAGCACAGTAAGAATATATTGATATAATGTCCTTGCTCACATGAAGTGCAGTGTGAATTAATTAAGTAAATTGGCATTTACTTAAATGATTATGAAAGTATTTGATTTCCTATAATCTTGAAGCTCTGCTTTTGTCTCTGGGTCTGAAGTATCTTCTTAGTTGATATCTAAATTTTGGTAATTTTAAATAAAAGTCAGTAGATTACATAGCACTGTACTTAATCTCAAGAACTGATATAATTTCACTTATGTTCCTGCTAACCTGCTTTCTGGACATATCCCCACTCCTCGAGTTTAGCTACAAGGCCACAGTGTAATAATGACAAGAAGTATCCTGCCAGAGGCAAGGGTTTATTATGAGCCAACTAGGTAGGTTGAACATGGCATTTGGGATTATTTCAACCCAAAAATGTTTGAACCAAAATAGGAAGTAATGGTTCACCATATGCTGAGCTGGGCAGTCTGTAGAGACTGTATTGAAGAACTATGAATCTTGGAGGAACATTGGCAATATTGATAATAATATTACATTTGGAGTGACTAAAGGATTGGGTGTATAGGGGTGCTATGTGGCTGTGAAAGTTAAGAAGGATATATAAGGCTACCTTAAATATTGGGAAAATGAGGAAAAAATAAGAACCTTAAATATTTAAACCTATTAAAAATGGAAATGGTGAGCTCACTGTTGTTGGAGGCATCCAAGAAAGATTAAGAAGTAAGAAAGATTGAATGAAAAGCTTTGGTAAAGATGCTCTAACATACAGATTTCTCTAGTGGTCTGAAAATTGTTTAGATTAGCTCCCATATCTCCTGCAAGTGTAAGTGTCTTCACACAGAGGCAATTACGACAGCCCCAGCAGCTGCAACAGAGCTTTGCTTCCTAACTCAGAGTGGAAGCTCCATGAGAGCAGGGGCCAGGATTTCCTTAGAGTTTGGAACAGCTCTTGGTACTTTATAGGCACTTGACAATTATTGGTTGAATGGATGCTTTCCACTGTTTTGTCCACTGGATATGAACCAGAAATACATCAAAGACCTGAATAAGATCTCTTCTTAGTTTCTTTCTTTCTTTAAGATTTTATTTATTTATTTATTTATTTATTTATTTATTTATTTATTCACGAGAGACACACAGAGAGAGAGAGAGAGAGAGAGAGGCAGAGACACAGGCAGAGGGAGAAGCCAGGCTCCATGCAGGGAGCCCGATGTGGGACTGGATCCTGGTCTCCAGGATCATGTCCTGGGCTGAAGGCAGGCGCTAAACTGCTGAGTTGCTAATGAATGGGAGGTGGAGCCAAGGGGAAGGAAACGGAAAGAGAAGAGTTTTTTTTGGGTTTTGTTTTCCATTTTAAACTCTCCTAATTTGGGGAAGAAAAAAAATGGTGTTTAGGTTTTGTTACATAATTATAAAAGAAAGCAAAATCTAGTAATTTTCATATTTATTACTATTCTCAGTTTTATCCTCAGTTGGAGAGTCTTCATAAACTTTTAGTGCTTTTAAGTTCTGCTTCATTTTTAAGTGATGGATGCAAATTCAACAAATTTTCAGAATGAAAAAAAGAGAAAATTTGCTAAAAATGTATAGCTGGTGCTTTATGTAAGAAATTCGGAAGACTGTGTGTGGGCCAAAACAAAATGAATCCCAAGATGTGGAATAAGAGGTAAGGTAAGCTTTGGGAAAATGACAAAATAAACAGATTAAGGGAGGGAAGAAGCTAACATTTATTGGATGAACTACACTATCTATCAGCCTATCTGATTTCTATTTCCTTAAAAAGCCTACATGGTGTGTATTATTTCTCACTCTCCTAACCCCTGCCTTCTTTTAAGATAAAGAAACACAGGCTCAGAAAGGTCAAGTAGCTTGCCTAAGATCACAAATCCAAAAATCTTGGGACCGTGAATCAAACCCAGATGTAGCCTCT